ATTTTTGCTTTCTCTTTCTTTTTAATCAGTGCTCCAGAAGTTGTGGACGAGGTGAAAGGTCTCGAGACTCTTACTGTATAAATCATTTTGGCCATCGTCTTGCAGATCGAGAATGCCAAGCACTTCCCCGAGCGATAATAGAGAGTTGTAATGACTTTTCCTGTCCCAGTTGGGCTACTAGTGAGTGGAGTGAGGTAACATGAACTGCATGAGACTCAGAACTGCTATAATAATTGTGTAGGAAACTTTTACAATATAAGTTTTTTTATAATGAAAAATATATTTAAGGTTATATTATCATGTAAAAAATTCTATTGTCAAGGCAATCGAAATGGGTTGTGCTTTACGTATAGTATCTGGCTAACAGTGACAGCAACTGGTGTGCAGTGTATACTCGTTTTCATTACACAGCCCCAGTGGCCATGGTCTGTGTGTCCATCTGAGACGTATACTCATTTGAGGGTTAGTTTCACAGCGACTTCTCCTCTGGAGAAAGTGGATTTTGCCCTGAGGGGTGGGAAGCAGAGCTTCAGGGCAGCTGATGCTACCCGCTTCTGCGGAAGAATTCAGGAGAAATCAGGGAAAGCATTCTGTCTCTCACTATGCTAATTACCATGGTATCATTTGTTTTGCTGTGGCTGTTGAGCTGTTAACCACAAGGTCAGCAGTGAAAAACCACCCACTGCTCCATGGCAGAGAGACAAGGCTTTCTAACCCCATACAGAGTTACAGTCTTGGAAACCCACCGGGACAGTTCTACCTGACCTGTAGAGTGACTGTGATTGGGTATTGACCCGACACCAGTGATTTTGGTTTGGGGATTTTCAGACTGCTAGTAATGATCAGGTGTGTGCTTGCAGTGCCTCACTACCTGTGGACCAGGAACAAAGCAGCGGCAGGTGTGGTGTCAACTAAATGAAGATCCATTGAATGATGGCTTCTGTGATCCAGGTGTCAAACCTGAATCTCTGCAACCTTGTGAGCTTCGTAAATGTGCTTCCTGGCAAGTAGGCCCGTGGACTTCTGTGAGTATTAGATGTGGGCTCACAGCGCAAAAGTTGTGGCACAGTGAGCCCCTTCTTGGTGGATTCAGCTAACTTGAGATTGGTGTATTGGGACAGTGTCCTTGGCATGGAAACCCTTATTTATAAAAATGTTTTTAAAACTGTGTAATTCATGCTAATTTTGCCGATCAATATTCCAGATTTGTTTTTTCACATCCCTTTAGATCACCAAAAATGCTGCAGATTTTATATTTTATTGAGCCTCACTTAAATAATTTTTATCTTGTGTGTCTAATTTGATGCTGTTCCTGGACTTGGAGTAGGCAGGGTTTGCATGTTTTGCCGACAAAGGCAACTTGGAATGTTCCCACGGACAATAGTTAGGATAGGTGGGAGCAGAGAGCCTATCATCTTGGGGCAGGTGTCACAGTCGTGGAGAACCTTCTCTCATATCCCATTATCATATACTCTTCTTTCTTTATCTTTGTGAAATGTACATAGTATAGTGAATGAAATAAATTACAAGCTAGGTAAAGTTTGAAAAAAATGACTCCATTTCCACAAATCACATAGACTCGGCCTTGAAAATATCAGTGCCTCTCGGGGTATATTTACATGATACTTTTATCAAAACCACAATTAGAACTACACTAAACCCTGCTGTAGAGTCTGTTACATCTTATAGTGGCTCCATAGAGCGGCATAAGCTGTTTCATTGAGTTTCTCTGGCAGTAATCTTTATGAAAGCAGACAGCCTCTTCGACTGCCTACCGGGTGGGAGTTGGATTTGAACTGCCAAACTTTTGTTTAACAGCTGAGCACTTCAGAACTTTTCCACCTGTACAAATGTGCTTGGCACAATTGATGGATGTATGGATTATGGTAAGAGTTGTACAAGCCCCCAATAAAACGATTTTTTTAAAAAAGGGAAATATTACCACATGGAAATCTTTAAGCTTACAAAGCTCAGTAAATCCTAAAAATGTTTATGTTGTGTTAGGTGCAATCCAGTTGATCATGAGACATAGCGATCCTACATGCAACAAAACAAACAAACAAACACTGCCAAATCCAAACCAAAAAAAAAGAACTTTGCCACCAGGGTTCATTGGAGATACAATAGCACAGTAAATTTTGTTAACTTCAATAATTTATTAATAGCTTTGTAATAAATGTGAATAATTATGTACATTGATAGAATTTGCTAATGTTAAGCTTTGACCATGATATAAGCAATTACTAAAATGACTTCCTGATCCTGTATTATTAATTAACTATGCATTAGGTAAATAGATAGATGTCGTGTTTTGAAAACATGGTGTTTGCTGGTCTCTGTTCTTGCAGTGCACAGCCACGTGTGGACCCGGCTTTCAGCGGCGAGCTGTGAAATGTGTCAGTGAGTTCATTAGTGCAGTGTTAGATGACAGAGAGTGCAGTGAGGCCAGTCGCCCCAGTGACAGACAGGTAAGGCGACCTCTTTATGGATTATACACACAAAGGAGAGTTCTAATACAAGAGAAGTAAGGATGTGTTCGAAGTAGTCCCATATGCATTTTTCCTCTTAAACAAATCGTCTTTAAAAATTGTTGTGTGAGAGGGTTTATTGTTCTTGGTTTTGCTAGTTTTCTAGCTTTATTAATGACATTTTTTATTCTTTTTGTACAATTTGGACCACTAATTTAAACAGTATATTTTCATTTTTGGAGCCATAGAATACTATTCCATGCTTGAAACTATTACTGTATATACCATGGAGCTCTAAAGTGTCAGGAATTGACGGAATATCAATTGCAGTATTTCAACAAGCTGACGAAGCACTGAAAGCACGCATAGGTCTATGCCAGGAAATCTGAATGACAGCTGTTTGGTCAACTAACTGGAGGAGATTCAACATGTCCCCTGTCCAAAGGAAGGTGACCCAACAGAATGCACACATTACAGAACAGTAGCATTGAGATCACACGCGAGTAAAATTTTGCTGAAGATCATCCAACAAAGGTTGCAGCAGTACTTTGACAGAGAGCTGTCAGAGGTTCAGGCCAGATTCAGAAGAGGACGTGGAACAAGAGATGTCAGGGATTATGTCGGATGGATCTTGACTAAAAATAGAGAATGCCAGAAAGATGTTTGCTCGTGTTTTATTGACTCTGCCAGGCCATTTGACCATGTGGACATAACCAACTATGGATAGCTTTAGAAGAGAGAGAATTCCAGAACACCAGACTGTCCTCAGGCAGAACCTGTATGTGGGTCAAGAGGCGGTTTTGCAAACAAGAACCAGGGGACACTGTGTGGCTTGAAATCATGAAATGTGTGTGTCACTGTTGTACCCTTCCGCCGTACTTAGTCAATCTGCATGTGGAGGAAATCATCAGAGAAGCTGGCTTGTATGAAAAAGAATGTGGCATAAAGAACGGAGGGAGATAGGTTAACAACCTGTGATATGCAGATGACATACCTTGTTTGTGAAAGTAGCGGGAATTAAAGCACTTGCTGATCAAGACCAAGGATGTTAGCCTTCAGTATGGATCATGACTCAATGTAACTAGGTAGCATGATAAATGGAGAAAAGATTGAAGTAAGGATTGTGCCGTGGAAGCAGTAGTCAGCTCAAACAAGACATTGCATTGTTGAAAAGCAGGGATGCTATTTTGAGGTCACCTGACCCAAGCCATGATATTTTCAGTTGCTTCATATGAATGTGAATGTTGGACAATGAACAAAAAGACCAATAAAGAATTAATGCATTTGAATTATGGGGCTGGCAAAGAATAGCGAAACTACCATTGACTGCCAAAAGAACAAACAAACCTGTTTTGGAAGAAATGCAGCCAGAATTCTACTTAGAGGCAAGCATGGGGAGACTATGTCTTCCATATTTTGGATATTGTCAGGAGAGACCTGCCTTTGGAGGAGGACATGATGCTTGGTAAAGTAGAGGGGCAGTTAAAAGGAGGAAGACCCTCAAGGAGATGGAATGACAGAGGGGCTGCAACAGTGGGCTCAGACATCAGGACAGCTGTGAGGAGGCCCAGGACCCGGCAGTGTTTTGTTTGGGTGAACAGGCCATTGCTATGCGCCAGACCCAATTCCGTGATGCCTACCAACAACTGCTGGGGTTCTCCACCTTCCTCATGCCGCGACCCTTTCAGACAGGTCCTCACGTGGTGGTGCCCCCAACCCATAACATTAGTTTCATTGCTACTTCATCCCTGTAATTTTGCTACTATTATGAATCAGATGACCCCTGTGAAAGGGTCGTTCAACCCCCAAAGGGGTCACGACCCACCGATTGAGAACCACTGCACTAAAGTGTCTCACAGTTCTTAAGGTGCTTATTCTACATGTTTCTGCTTAATGGTATTTTGAAAAATGTTTGCTCTGGCTTTTTAACTATCAGACAGAGTGATCCAGATTTTCGGATTCAGATCCTTTCATCTACTACTTGGACCGTACACTGTGCATTTGAAAAGTAAAACCCTTGAAGTCCTTTCGTAGGCCACTGTTTTGAATGAGGAATCTGGGAGAAGTGAACTGTAAGGTTTCATCCACGTGATCGATCACTTGCTGTATCACAGTCTCTCTTTTCTTTCAAATAGGACTGTATATCGGTACCATGCCCGATTATTCCTAACCTTGGGGCCACTTCATCGCCTGCTCTTCCTGTGGAAAAGGTGGCACAGTGGCGACATGGTTCTTGGACCCCAGTAAGTCAAGTTTTTAAATAGATGCAGGGTTTCTTTTATGAAGTTTTCCAGAGATTAGTAGAATATTTGTGACTGATTTTCAAAATCACTGTACACCCTTATCTTCAGATAATCTGATGGTGTGAAAAGGTGTGACATAGAATCAGGTCATTTAATTGCTAAATCCTGCCCTGCCTTCCAAGACTTCTGTGACCTTGGATACAAAATTTAAGTTTTCTGAGTTTCTAAAGTGTCCCTATGTTAAGGTGACCAGATTTAAAGTGGGACACCACTGACCTGGGGGGGAGGGTGTTCTTGATTAAAAATTTGGTCTATATGGACCAGATAGACCGTTCCCTAACTTGTCGTGCATTCTTTCCAAAAATCGGGACTGTCCCGACAAAAGCAGGATGTCTGGTCACCTTACCCTATGTGTCAGCATCCACTCAATGGCAGGGAGTTTATTTTTATGAACAGCAGACCCAATGTGACGCTTTTAAACAACTTTTATTTAAACGACTGCACTAATTTTCTAGGGTGGTAGTAACAAAACTATACAACCTAAGTGGCTTGTAAGAACAGAAATGTGTTGTCTCATAGCTCAGGAGGCTCGGAGTCCCAGGGAAGGGCTGGGGCCTGTGCATTTTTTCTGCAGGCTCTGACCTAGTAGCTGGTCCACGCCTCGCTCCTCGCTTCTGGAAGCTCCAGGTCTTCCTTAGCTTGCAGTGGCAGTGTCACTGGTGACCTCCCAGTGTCAACGTCTCTATGTAGCCTTTCTCTTGTAAGGACACCAGCTCTCTCCGACTGAGACCCAGCTGCGTCCAGTATGCTGTCACATTGCCCTAACTGGTACTCTTTTGAAAGAGCAGGGCACGAAAAGAGAGCAAGATGATTTTCATACCAAAAGAAGTAGACCTTGCTGGCTGCGGAGGAGCTCTAGACAATAAAGGCGGGATTGAGAGGGTAGCATAACGAAATAAAATTCATTTTTAAAAAGTCAGGGTTGCATTTACAGTTACTTAGGTCGATTGGCAGAGGCAGAATTTGATTTATTAACTATCAGAATGTTCCTTTTGTTTTTCTAAGCAGGCAACTTTAGATTGACGATATAATTTTGCTTAACTTTTATGTACAAGATATATTGTAAGCCTCGCATATTCTGTCTTTCAGTATAATTTTTAACTCTGAAGATACTTTTTTTGTTTGTTTTTTTCTTTGAAGGACTAAGTCTTTATTGGGCTCAGACCAGGAGTCCACGGGTCTTTAGAACCTCTGTGTACTTGTTGATCTCTGTCTCCAAGTTCTTCTCCACCCGTGTCCGCAGCCTCATGAGCAGTTTCTTTAATGTTAGCAAATAACTAGCCATTTCAAAACTTGCGTGTTTGGTCCTTACTCTTTCAAATGATCAGATTTGCAAAATTTGAGTCAGATATGATGCTTGGTGATACTAATTCTCATTTAAGTTTCTCAGGAAACTTGATATTTGGGAAATCTGACAAATAGCTAAGGGACAGGAATTGAGAGATATTCTGTATAACGCCCCTGGTGTGATGATTTTCCCTGTAAGTGCTCTGTGTCTTGTGGAAGAGGCAATCAAGCTCGCTACGTCAGCTGCCGTGATGCGCATGACGGGATCTCAGCCGAATCGTATTGTGCCCATTTACCACGCCCTCCGGAAACAGCTGTCTGCTTTAGCCCTTGTGGAGAGTGGCAAGCAGGTAGCTGGTCACCTGTAAGTATTCTTATAAGAAAAGGAGATGAAAAATGTCAATATAATATAGCCTTTAACTAGTAGATTTATTTCTTTAGGGGAATAATGATTTAATTATTGTTGGGTAGCTTTAAAACTAATATTTAAATTTAAATCATTCAATTTTAATGCAATTTAAATACATTATAGCAATATAACTTCTGATGCATTATATACATACATGTGATGCGTAAATACAGTATACATTTAAATATGATACCTTTTTTTCATCAGTGCTCAGCAACCTGTGGCAATGGAAAAACAACTCGACACGTCTTATGTGTCAACTACCACCAGGCAATTAATGAGGATTACTGTGACCCCGAAGTTCGCCCTGTTACAGAACAAGAATGTAACCTAGCAGCCTGCCCACCTGTGTACCATCACTCTCCTGGCTCCGCTGAGCAGCCCAGCCACCCTCCAGACAGGAGTTCTCCATTAACTCACGAACCAGAGGATCTTCCATCTATCAGAGGAAACCAATGGAGAACAGGACCGTGGGGATCAGTAAGCCGCTTTATTGAGCTGTATTGTGTCTTCAATTTGATTATATTATAGTCTCATAATTGATAAGCATTTTATGATGGCATATTCCTAGAATGCTAAACTGAGCTAAAGAGCAATAGTTGAAATCCCGAAGTTATTAAGCAATGCCTCATGCAGATGACAAATTCCCATCATTCTAATTGAATTATACACTACTGGGACATTGTGACTGCAGGGTGATGTACTGAAAAACATCTGATTAGAGTCCCTTGTAACAAAAAGAAAAGCAAACATTTTAGAGATATGTTTGTGGAAAAAACTCAACCCTGCAAGTGACTAGTATAATAATGTCATAGCTGGTGTAAAATCATGACGGAACTGCAAGAGGTACAAGTGTAATCTATATTTGATATCAGTCTTATGACCCAGAATGAAGAAAAGCAGCAAGTTGAAAGTTAAGCAACTGAACCCTATCTTTGTTTTCTTTCTTCTTTTTGAAACCTTAAAATTTGAATTCCTTTTCCCTCAATGTGTACGAAAAGGGTGAAAATGTATGTTACCAGCAAATTCTGACTGAAGTTTTTGGACAGGTTTTCCCGATTCCACTAGACTTGTGACTTTAGCCCGTCTTCCTCGAGGCACAGAGCCCATTCTGCTGTTCAGAGCAGCTCTCCAGGCCTGTGGCGAACTGCCCCGTGAGCTTCTGAGACTGCAATGCTTTTAAAAAAAATTTTGAGCAGGTTTATTGACGTAAAATTTACATATCATACGATTCAATAGTTGAATCCTATCAAGAAACGTTATACAACCACCACCTCAATCAATTCTAGAACATTTCCTTCTGTTTTATATTCAATGTTATTAGCTCTCCAATTCCCCCCAACTTCCCCTGCCATACCCCCACGGAACCATTAATCCAGTTACTGTCTCTATAAATTTCATATACAGAAAAAGATACAAGGGAAACAAGAAACTAACAGTGATAGCAAAGTAAAACAGAAAAACCTTAATTGAAAAGAAAGCAGAAAATATTAAAAACTATAATTTTTTATAGTTTAAATTTAAAATGGGTCACAAGGGAGATCAAATGATAAAATGCTAAATTTTTACCATCTGCATCTGCAATCATCCACTTCCCACTGATCTCTGCATGTTAGCAAGGGTATTTATTCACTTACCCAGTCTGTGGGCAGAGGGATTCGCTGGAGCTTTAAGGCTTACTCTACATGGATTTCCCCTTCATATTTTCATAGTTTCTTCTTTTTGTTAGAAAGGACCATCTCTCTCCCCTGGAGTGGCTGGTGGTTTCGAAAGGCTGACCTTGCAGATAGCAGCCCAACATGTAACCACTATGCCACCAGGGTTTCTCAGTGATTTTAATAGGGATGATTTTAATGTAGATGTGGATTTCCGATTGAGTCAAGGTACTGAAATCTCCCCTGTGCCCCCTCCCGCAGTCTGCATTCCTGGTGTCAAAACTCTGTGTTTATCTGTGCTTTCTCCTTGTCAGTGCTCTAGTAGTTGTGCTGGAGGTCTTCAACACCGAGTGGTGGTCTGCCAGGATGAAGATGGACAGAGTGCCAGTGACTGTCCCGCAGCCTCCAGGCCCCCGGAGTCCAAGCTCTGTGACTCAGGACCTTGTCCCCGGTGGAACTACGGCAGCTGGGGCGAGGTAAAGCAGAGCTTCCCTAGACGTGTGCAGATTGTGGTTTCGCCGCAGGGTCAAGGGCAGCATTGCTCAATGTGCGATAATCTTGCTTCATGATTGTCTTGAGACAGTCAGGAGTTCTTTGTTTGTTTGGTTTTAATACAGTGATGAAAATGAGGTTGCTTTCATAGATGGTTTCCACCATATACATCACTCCGTTTTGATAGAAGATCCAATAAGGGGACTTCAACAAAATTTGTGGAAACATTCCATTATCTCTTAATTCCATTTTCCAAAAACTTTTTGAAGCCTCCTCATTTCCAACTTTTTAGCAGAACTTGATATGGCTGCCTATAAACTAGGACCACCTTTCTAAAATCAGCATGTTCTTCTTTTAATTACTTAGAAAAAGAGATCACTAAATCCCCAGTCCCCATTTGTATCCCATCGTTGAAATATTCCCTGGAGGTTGCTTCTTCCTCACACAACACAGTGGACGTTTGGTCCTCCAGGCCCTCCTGCTCTTCCGGGCACCGGGGATATAAAGATAATTTTTTTAAATTAACTTTAGAAATGCACTGTCTCTTCCCTTGTCATGACAGTTTGGTAGTTCTTGTTCTTGCCGGACAATATTTCATTGAATGGACATACTACAGTGTGTCCATCACTTGAAAAACATCTCGCTTACTTCAAATGTGGGTGCTAGAGTGAATAAGGTTGAAAATTCTTAGGAAGGTTTTTATGTGAATGTACGTTTTTCATTTCCTTTTTACCATACCTAGGAGCATGATGCTGCATGACTGTGTTGCATGATTGCTGAAAGACTGTGTTCAGCTTTGTAGGAAACAAATCCACAGCAACTCATGTATAAGAAAGAGTTTTATATAAAGGTTAAGTGTGCATCAAGAAAACATCCCAACCCAGTGCTGCCCAAGCCCACAAGTCCAACATTAACCCATATTTCCAACACCAAGCCACAAAGTCCTCCTCCATCTCACAAAACAGACACAATGATGCCGACTGCAGGAGGAAAGCCAAATCAGTGAATGTGTAAGCATCTCAGCACTGGCAGGGGTCTCCACAGGGCTGCCCCAGCACCCAGGGCTGCATCGGGGTAGGTCCATGCAGCTTCTCTTTGGGGATGTCTTGTAGGAAGTCAGCCTTGCAAGCTGAAGCAGGGAACTGCTAAGGCAGCTGCACCCTGGTGCGACCATCACAAAGCAAGAGACCCGAAAACTAGAAAGGCGAGGTGCGCTGAGCCATTTATCTCTCCACCCTTCAATTAACCCCGCATGTGTTTATTGGCCAGGTTGGCACAATAAACTAACTAAATCAACAATATTTCAGTGAATGGACATACCACAGTGTGTTCATCACTTGAAAAACATCTCGGTTACTTCTGCTAGAGTGAATAAGGATGCAAATTCTTAGGAATGTTTTTATGTGAATGTACATTTTTCAATTCCTTTTTACCATACCTAGGAGCATGACTGCTGCATTGTATAGAAAGACTGTGTTTGGCCTTGTAGGAAACCGCACCAGCTGGTTTTGAAAGTGGCTGTGCTCATTTGCGTCTCCACTAGTCATGAGTGAACGTTCCCATTGCTCCACATGGCCATCAGCTCTGGGGGTTGTTGCGTTAGTATCTTAGTCGTTCTAGTAGGTGTACAGTGATACCTCATGTTTTCATTTGCAATGGTGCAATGATGTATCCTGTGCATCTTTTGACTATTTACCCAGGGAGGATATTATGAATTATCCAGGAATTATGCAATGTAAACTTTTCTTTTGTTGAAACAATATCATTTTCTACTTAAACCACATAATTTTTCATTTACCATTCTTATTTTTAGTGTACACAAACATGTGGAGGAGGAATAAAGTCAAGATTTGTAATCTGTCAGTTTCCCAATGGCCAGATGTCAGAGGAGCAAAACTGTGAAATCTTAAACAAGCCCCCTAGTGTGGCACCATGCCATGTGCAGGCGTGCCCTAATGAGGTTTCATGGCACCGGGGACCATGGAAATCGGTACGATAGTATTCTTTTTCTTTTTCTTTTGATTCACTATGTCCGTTCAACTTTAAATCCCGCTCTAAAACTTGTGAACTACATATATTGCATCTACTCTGATTTATTTTAAAGACGACCATTGGCTGTTTTGGCTGTGCTATTTTATTTGATATTAGTAAAGAAGCAGAATCCATTCAGAGTCAAGCACTGTAACATGTATACATAAATAGTTATATGCATCTATTTATTTTTCCTATGTGAATTTGGAACCATGGCATTAACTATTCTCATAGAAATATTTTTCCCTTAATTCATTGATTTTCTTCCTCTACCCAGAAATGTATCCTCATTTACACTTGTGTATAATGTTAACATTGTGCATATAACAATGGCAAATTAAGGATGTGTCTTGTTGGAACCTATTAACTTTATGTGGCTTTTGTCCGTCAGTATCTAATAACTGATCCAAAACCAAATAACTGTCTTTAAATG